TGAATATGTCATGTATAATTTTCAGTATAACTGAAATATTTGCATTAGAAAAACTTTTTTCTTTTGTTGGGGTAATTGTTCAGTACCTTGTAAATGTATCCATACTCTTAGAATATGTTCAGATTTTGTCAAATTACAGCCTGAATATTTGTGGTTTATTGTGATTTTATGATGTACCAATCAAATAAAGAGAATAACTTTGAAGTGGGAAGATGAAGTATTGCTTGAAAAGGAGTGCCACTCTTTGATGCAGCAACCAGGTATATTTTTGTCTTCCTGTTCCAGGTGATAACAGTAAGAGATTACTGTCAGCTTCTTACTGTTGATGTTGTAAGATCTGCTGTCAATTAGGAAATGTGCCAACATGATTTACTGTAACCGCGGGAATTATTTTCCATTCTGCGAAAGAGAAAGTGGTGCAGGCCACACTGAGCAGATCCGCTGTAGAGGGTTTTTTTTCTACTACTTTGGCCTTCTGCCAAAGACAACAGGGAATGTGTTCTTCTTAAACGTCCCAAACTCTTTTTCAAAAAGGCGTAAGACAATTAAAGGAATTCAACCTCAAAGGAACAGCTGGGGAAATACCTTGAAACAGAAGTGTAATAACAACTTAGTAAAACTCATAAAAGTTCTTGTCAAGTGGCTTCTTCTCCATCCATCCAGTTTCTCACACCCTTGTTCGTAACAAAGTTTCGAGGGTGTTGGTGCTGATCACCAGACGTCAATGTTCGAGAAGTGGGCAGGGCAAGACGGGACGTGAGACAAGTAATAAAGATAAAGACAAAGATAAAGATTGTAGTCAGACTGTTGTGGTTTCTGTCACAGCTTCATCATGAGTTACCTTTAGTTTTACAGCAGAAACGAAAGAGAAATTATGTTAAAGTGAAACTCTTGAGGCAGTATTATCAGAATTTAATGTGCGTCATCTTGTCACATCTTGAGTTTTCTCTTCAGTAACAGCTCCTCTTCTCTCTACACTTCGGGTAAGACCAATGACTCTCTTAATTAAGACAAATTTCAGTTTTCTTTTCAGCAATAACCAAGTTAAGTGAATTTCTCATTATTTCCTAGGGTGTGTTTTCACTGCAGTCATGACCAGATCAGCTTCAGATGGAAACAGAGGATTGTTTGGTTTCAGACCAACCAATGGGCTGCTCTTCATCGTCACTCTGCTGGGCCTCGTTTCTGTAGCAAACTCTCTGATTGACACAGAACACCTGGTAAAGTGTTTTATTTTTGTTTATATATATTCACTTAAATTGGGTCTGAGACAAACAAATTAGTAATAATCAAAAAATTGTGGACAACAGGGTATTTTGTTGTATTTACAGATAGAGTGGTGTTTTCACTGTGCACTTATCACCACTTAAAGTCTTAAACATGACTTAGCATTTTTTACAATGTTTATATTGTAAAAAATGCTTTTGCAGCTCTCATCCTGTAACATACAGCTCTTCATTTGCACATTTCAGAAAATAATTCAGGAGTACTATGAGGGCGGGTTGGAGGATGCATCTGACAAGAAGGTGAGTCATTGATCAAGTCTGAAAAGATTTTGACACCTTTATTAATAATTTCAGTATAAATCGTGACAAAGTGTCTCTGAAATTGTGTAGTACTTCTAATAAGTTTCTCTTCTGTTTCCCCTCCAAAAGAAAGAATTTGAGAACAGGATTAAAGTTGCCTCAATCGTCTTTGAGGAAGAACTTGAGGAGTTTCATCCCACGCTGAAGCAGCTGAAAGCAGCAACAAAACTCTACGTCCCTGCAAGGACTCTCACGCGCCATCACAGATTTCTTAGTCAAAGAAAGAAAAGATTTTGCTGAATCTGTGAAGGCAAATCAGAAGGAAATTGATGATATTTGGAGTTTCATTAAAGCTCAGGAGTACGGTGAGGATTAGATGCAGCTGTTCTTTGTGGCAGATAAATGGTGTTTTATAAAGTCTCTCTTCTCTTTATTGTCTAAGAAGGTTTCCTTTTTCATATTCATTATCTAAAGTTGCAATTGAACCAGTTTATTATGAATGCAAACACCTTTGACAGCCTGTGGGTATCTGATGTTTCATTCAATCCAATCACTCCACAACTCTACTGATTCTTTAAAAAAGCCACTTGAACCACTTTTACCAATTTTGCATCCTGCATTACATGGTATTTGTATTTGTATTTACTTTATTCAATAGACTCATGGTCCACAAGATACACAACAACACAACATAAAAAAACAAGAGAAAATGAAAAATAAAATACAATAAGTAGTCATAAGAAATATAAATATAAATCTTATAGAAGACTTGTATACCAATGTTTCCAAAGAGCCGACTGGTATCTTAGCGCACTAACAGAAGGCTGTGAGAACATTACAAGAAGATTGTTCAGTGAGTTACCCAAACGACACATAAACTTGTATATCAGATTTCTCAAAAGGGCCTGAAATGTTCTGACATGTGCGTTACAGAACATTTGACTTGCACTGCTGAACCTGGGTTTCTTGATCAAAATTCTCAAAGAGTCATTATAAGCAACCTTAAGCTTCTGCATACTAGTTTTTTTAAATTTGCACCACAAAGGAGCTGTATACAAGGATGTACAGTAAGCTTTAAACAGGCTTATTTTTACCTCATCAGAGCACATATGAAATTTCCTCCCCAAACGTTTGCCTGGGCGTATAACATGCGACACTGCCTATAGATGTCATCATCATCAGAGAGCTGGTCTGTGATGTAGTGACCCAGATACTTAGTTTTGGAACAAACATCTAACTTTTGCCCTGACAGAAAAAAATCAGGGAAACAGAGTTGTTTGTCGGCTTTAGTTCTACAAACTAGTACAACAGTTTTCTTAGCATTATACTGCACATCAAATCTCAACCCATAATCAGAGCAGATATTCAATAACTGCTGAAAACCAGCACTACTGGGTGAGAGAACAGCCAGGTCATCAGCATACATGAAGTGATTGACCAAAGTATCACCAATCATACTTTAGCTAATTTGATATAATGATTATCATAATGATTTTGTTCTTCTTTTTAATAATGTTCTTTGTTCATAATTTAAGAATTTTATTTTGTTGTTTTTAAGAAGTTTGTGATTCTTTTCTGTTAAAATTGCCATATGGATAAACTTTGCATACCAACTTGATTCATGTTTGAGTATTTTAAAAAGTTTTGATGAAACTGATTTAAAACACTATAATGTCTCTTTGTCCAATACCGATTGTCTGCATTTGAAAAAAAAAACATAAAAGAAGAAAAAGAAAAATATGACTCCTGAGTATTTCCTGCAAGAGCTCAAAAGGTGGCAGTGTTGGTTATATTTCACAGAAATATCTTTGGCTAAGAGAGTCATATTGCCATGTTTATATACACTGCTCAAAAAAATAAAGGGAACACTCAAATAACACATCCTAGATCTGAATGAATGAAATATTCTCTTTGTCCTGTACAAAGTTGAATGTGCTGACAACAAAATCACACAAAGATCATCAATGGAATCAAATTCATTGATGATAGGATGTGTTATTTGAGTGTTCCCTTTATTTTTTGAGCAGTGTATTTAACTGAAGCAAATAGTCCTGAAGCTGAAACCACATTTGGCTTAATAACTTCAATCCTATTCAACCCTGACAGATTTAGATTTGTATTTATTTTTTTACATAACTGAATATTAATTGGTGTCTGGTCCTGCACCCAGTATTTATCAGAACGTTACCCCAATTAAGGTCTATCTTAAAATTCAGAAATGTTAAATGTGTCAGAAATATAGAAGAGAATTGGAGAGAATAATAAGTGAACATCCAAACTCCCAAAGGGAAATGCTAATTAGAGGTAATGAAAAGTTTCCACATTGCTTGTGCTGTTTATTTTTTTGCAATTTATTTTTATTGCTCTTTTTCAAATGTACCACTTAACCAGATACAGGACAATTCAAAAATAAATCAGGGGCTTCAGACCTGGATTCCCGAGTCTACTGTGGTTAAGGGTATGAAAAAAAAACTTTTTTATAAACTTTTTGTTTGTATAAATGTAACAACCTTTTCCCTACTGGCGTCAGGAGGTGCTGGTGCCTAACTCCAGCTAACATTCGGGCGAGAGGCGGGATACACCCTGGATATGTGCACCCTGCACATATTTCTCATTTACACTTTTCATTAAAATCAATTTGTTAAACTGAGAAAACAGATTATTTAATCAAATCTAATTATTTCAATTTGTCAAATAAAATAATTATTTTAAAAAACTAAAATAAATAAAAGCCTTGAGTTAACATTAAACAAAAAGGACACAAAGAAAGTCAACTGTTAAAAAATATAATAAAGTCACTCTGCGACAGACTGTGTTGCCCAGTCTGCCGCAGGGCAACACAGAGACAGACATGACAAACAGCCATGCACACCTAGGGAGAATTTAGAGAGACCATTTAACCTAACAGTCATGTTTTTGGACTGTGCGAGGAAGCCGGAGTACCTGGAGAGAACCCACACATGCACAGAGACAATATGCAGAAATATTTACAACATTTCTTTCTAATGATGGTATATCCAACAAAAATATGTTTAATAATTAAATTTCCATTCTGTTTACACCTGGCTAGTGGCAAGGCTGATTTTTTCTGTTTTCTTTCACTTCTGATCCTGCATCTTACATAAACTATCACTTTCTGTGTCAACATTGACAATGTGAGCAAGCCGGATGCGGCTCTCAGTAAATGTTTTTCTTCCTTCTAGGTGTTTTTTTATATACTCATGTTACGACCCCTGTGACTTGACCTTTGCTTTTAGTTTTAGCTGTGTTGTTTCTCCATTCAGTTCATCTTTGATGCATCTACAGGTAAGATCTTTAAGACTGGGAAGTTATGCATTTTAATTATGTTTTTAAGAAAATAATTTTATTCTAATTGGTAAGTATATGCATCCTGATTTGTGCTTTTCTCCTGATTGATTCGATCACAGAAATAATGGCTGAAGCAAGACAAAGACTGGAGGCTCTGAGGTTCAAAAACCTTTTCCGAATCATTTCCCTGCTGTTTCTGCTTCACATTGGACAGTCACTGGATTTTAGAGATTATAGGGTAAACTGGCTTTTTCTTTAAATATTTTAACATGTTCTAACGTATATTTAGTTTATGTACAAAACGTTCATAATTGTACTTGCAAAATCTTGCTTTTGTCTTCCTTGTAAGAATGTTGAAAGCTTGGTGAATAACTTGCAGAAAGCAGAAGAATTAGTCACATACCTTGTAAGTTTCCTTTTTGCTCATATTTGTGCGACATATTTTCCTCATTAAATTAACAGCAAACAGAACTCAAATGTCTACTAATAAAGCTTTTTTTTCTTCATTAGAGAGAAGTACAAAGTGGTACTGAATTTATCTTAATTCTTTTGGATGAAGCAAAGTTTGTAGCAAACAAGAAGCATCTTGTGAGTAATATGGCTTTATTGTAGAAGGTTAACAGAGTAGTATTTTCTAAACACAGTCTTATATTAAATAACCATTTTCAAATGTATATTCTTTCTCTGATTGATTACAGGAACTATTCCAGCCATATCTTCAAGAAGCTGTAGATGAAGCACACAAACAAAAGGTGGGTCAGCCTACCTTTATATTACTCAGATGTTAGTTATTTAAAAGGTTCACAAAATATTTATAAAAATGTGAATAATAAGACTGTCTAAATGTTTTTTTTATATATTTAATAGGTCAAAATGTCATCTTTTACAATGGGCATGCAACGGATTTGCAATTTGATCATGAACACTGAATGTTACCTTAAAGAAACGAAAAAGTCAATATTTACTCATCAATCGAAGACAAGGTTAATTGAAGCCATAGAGCAACTCCATGGATTATGTGTGAGTTACGTAGCGTTGCAGAAAGACACCTTCAATGGAAAAACAAAGGAGACTGAAACAAAACTGACATGGACGTTGAATATTCTTACATTACGGAAGAAGATTCTCTTTCTTTATGAAATTAAACCAGTCGTGATACTTTGCATTTTAGCCCTTTGTTGGATGTGTTCCCGCATCTGTTCTTGTATATTTTCATACCTATAAATTGTTTCATCATGAACATATATTTTGTATCTGCAGTAAAGTTTAACTCTTTCTGAACTTTGCATGATTTAGGATTTAGGAGAAGGTTGTGTTTGTGTCTGTTGAACCATTTTTATGTTCATATACCTTTAATCACTGAAGAATCATTGTCACGACCTTCTATTTCCACCCAGAGTGTGGGTGGAAATAGGTGGCTTGATTTGCACGCACTTCCAACTTGATTGTTTTGTAAAACTATATATGATTTATTTCTTAAAAATGTCTTGCAACTTAGTCAAAAACGAAAAATGATCTCAATTTGATGTTTGAAGCTCTAAAAAGTGGCCAAAAAATAATTTACAAAACCTTCCGTCAACACACCAGACATTTACCAAACATAGACCTCCACCAAGCACCCGGTGTGTTGTTAATTACTCAAATTCATGGGAGGATCTAACAATTATCAATGTAATCTAAACAATTACAAATATAAAAGTTATTTACAAATTTTGGATCTAAATCAACTTAACTACCTTCTAACTTGTTTTTAACTACCCAAAGAAGAAGAAGACTAAATTGGTAGAAATTATAATTCACAAAATTTAGCCTAACATGGCCACAACAATCACTAAACTACATTTTCATGCTTCTTGGCAAGGTTGCTATTTATTTTGTGGTAGCATGTTCACAAAAATAAAGATGACAATGTGTTATTTTGTGAAGTCTTCTATTTTTCTCTTATTCATATTTTTAACTTAGTAAAATACTTATTGCCCAGCCATAAAATTTCCTCACAACTAAATATTCTCAGTCAACTGTTAAGCTTATTAACTGCAATGGTTTCCATGGTGGTTTATATTACCTTTACATGCTTTACCTTTGATTTTCAAATTACAACTTGACTTTTTATCCATCAGAATTTCAATTTTGACTAACTGATCAATAAGTTAAATATTATTTTTGTTTTGTTTTATAATGTTACATTTGTTTTCATTTGTATAATAGCCTACAATGTTTTACAAAATTTAATCTGTTTCCAGTGTGATTTTAAGCCAAGGCTATTTGCTGTTTCTCATAGTTTTTCTCTTTATTATTATGAAGGTAAATAAATAAATGCTATTTGAATGTAACAAACATGTTTCACATAGTTTAATAAAATAAAAAAAATAAAACATGTTTAAAAAAACTGACCAAAACTAGAAATGTATTGTTTACCTGTAGTCTTTGTACCTTATTTGCATGTTATTGTGAGGCTTTATTTTTAAAATTTATTCAAAATGTGCAGTCACATTTTCTCATTGACTATTTAGTTAAGCAAGTGATAAAAAATTATAAATATCAGACATTCTAAGTATGCAAACTGTAGAATTAAACTCATTTTAAAAAGAACAGGTGATTAAGATTCCCTGATTTTGTTTGCTAATGTATATTGTTTGACTAAACCTTCAAACCATTTTGCTATTTAATATAAACCTACATAAGGATTTCCAGATCCTTTTGAGTTTACTTGTCTGTGCTGTGCATGACACACTCATGTTCAGGATAATGTAACTCATTACTAAAAAAAATCCTATTTAACGTTTTTAATGTTGTTTTATGAAAAGTGAGGGTTTTTTTGTTTAGTCTTACAGTTAAAGAAATCAATGCAAAAGAATCATTGGTTATACTTTCATTTAATCAATCACTTCATGTCATTGCTCACACCAACACTCAGAAACTGTACTGGAATTTATACATAACATCTCATTTAAAATGCACTTCTGCTTAGGAACAGCCAATTGATGCAGACAGAAATTAAACAAGCAGTTTTTTGGTCTTAGCAGAAGTATTCTCCCAATGATAAAAGTTCTGGAGAGATTCTTTGCATTTTACAAGTCAGTATGCTCATCTGCTAAGTTTGTTACAAATGTCTCCAAATATGAGAGTGTGTCTTCATATTCCTTGACTTGTTCGGCTTCATTCTGAAACTTTTTTTTCAGAAATCCTGGCTGTCCAACAGGAATCTTATTACATCATTTACTTGTCCACGGGGAAATATATGATCTGGTAATGACCAGCTAATGATCTGAGTTGCAAGGTCTATAATAATTGTCAGTTTCTTCAAGGAATAAAGGAAGGAGGGCCATGTCCACCATGTTAAGAAGCTGAAACAAACAAAAAATTAAATAAATAAACTAATTAATTTATTTATTTATTGCAACATTCCATTACTTTGTAAAAATGTATGTTGTGTATTTTTGTTTTACTTTTCTCATTGTTGCATCTTCTTGGAGCTTCTGAATATTGTCCTTCATTTTTTGCTAAAAATTCAGAAAGTAAATATATCAACATTTACAAAGGAAGTAAGATAAATAGGGTGAAAAAACAGCAAGTGTACATCATTATCTTTTTGAAACTGTGATTGTTCTCTAATTTAGAAATAAGAAGAAGCATACCAGGTCCTTCTTGCTTATCCATGAACCTGCAGGACAGACCAGGCTGAGCAGAGTAATCATGAAGACAAAGTCTTTATATTTTCTGAGCCCAACCACCCATCTGCTTCTGAACGAGGACAAGGCTGTCATCCCGGCTCTGAATTTGCTTCTGAAACAAAAATATTTAAAAATGTATTTGACAGAGAGTCAGGTCAGAGGTAAAGCATTTATTTCCCATTACAGATAGAATGTGACAAAAAAATTTTTTTTACCAGTTTGTGTAAATGGGAGTTTAATCATACCTTGTGCTGGAGAGAGAGCTGCTCTACAGGAGACAGAAATGAAAGGAAGGACAATAAATGCTTTAGATATACCTGGATTGTCATCCACACACACACCCTCAGCATTTGATTGGATGTCATTTAGGTGAGTTATGCTCTTTTCATTTTGACTTGGAAGTAACAATGCTACTTAAAAGAAGAAAAAAGTAAACAGAGACACCTAGAAAACAGAAACTTATCCAAATTACTTAAGATGTCCTTGTAACTGGAGTATATTTGAAATATTTCAGAACTAAATTCTTGGCTTTGCAAACAAATTGAAGCACCGGCTCAGGAAATGCAGATCAGACAAATGTTTACATTTACTTTCCCCTGCTGTGAAAGTAAAGAGTGAACGTTGCAGGATGTGAAATGTTTGTCAAGGCTCTAAAATAATAGCTCCTCTGCTTTTGTGTGCAGTAAAAAAAATGGTAGCAAAAAAATGTAGTTCTTAGAAGCTGGAATGCTAAAAACTATTGTTTTAATAGTGCAATTATAGAGGAGGCAACTTAGACTGAACATGAGCTGCAGGAACCTGGAAATGTAAAGGTGTATTTTTCTGTTGTTGCTGTGATTAATTTTGCATTGGTTTAAAACAGCAATTTTAACTTAATGGAATGATTAATCCCTGCATTAGTGCAAGATTCACTTTCACTGCCTGTTTTTTAGCATTTCATTGACTTTCATTGATCTTTGTTTAGCAAGTTGGTTTCTTGTAAGTAAATGATGCGACTTTGCAATTTATGAAGATGAGAGAATACTTTGTTGCATTTGACCAGATGGTTTTAACCTCTGACATTCCAGCACACCAAAGTGGGGTTGGTTAGTGCCTTATAATTTGCAGAGGTCATAGATAGGACTCAGTAAAGGAGGCATCCAACATGTAGCCCTGTCATAAGATGTGGTGAGTAGCGGTGAGGGAGAAGCAGCAGACCCAGGTTGCAGTGAAATGATGGCTTTAATGAAAAATTATCCAAAAGAGGGGAATAATGAACTCAAAAATCAACAAGCATCTATAATTGAACAGAGAAAAGAACAGAAAAAGAAAGAACAATAAATAGCCTCATAAGGAGACCGCTATACTGTCAGTTCTCGCAGTATGTCTCCTCACCATCCACATGATAGAATACTTACCACGTTGGCTGAGTTGCAAGATCATAATAATTGATAATTATTAAACGTAATGTTGCTACAGCAATTTCTACAGCAATAATCTCACATATTCCAGCAATAATCTCACATATTCCAAATATGGCGAGGCTCCATTAAAAAAATACAGGTATCAAAAATGCCAAACTTAGAATTTGAAGTTTGTAGAGATTATGGTATGTCCCTTAAATAAGGAAAACGCACAACAAGGCTCAATATGCCATTACCTGTAAGATTCAATTGTTCAGCACTAATGTTGGTAATTGTCCTGCAATGGCACCGTCCAGTCCTAATGTCTCCAGCACATGTTCAGTGGCGCTCCAGCGCTCAGCAACTCCTTCAGACCAAACTCCTTCGCACGCTTTGGATCCTTGATGGTCGTTTCTTGTCCATCCGCCGTAGTAATCCTTAACGTCGCCGGTACGGTCTGAGGCCGTCGCGGACTCCAGCGCAGCTGCGGAAAAGTTTCCTTACTTCGGTAAAAAAGCGGCGCGATGTTTACTCACAGCTTGGATGAAGTCCGGCAGGATGCGGATATTGTCACCATCAGCGGTTGTTTTCGCCCCAGCCTCTGCTGTCTTTTTCAGAAGCAATTATTTTTAGTAGTGACATTTAACCACAAACGCGCTTGGTGGCAAATCATCTTGTACTGGCTTTGTTTGGAGAGTCCGGTGCACCCTGTCCAGAGTCATATTTGCCATGTTCATATATTTAACTGCAGCAAATAGCCCTGAAGAGAAACCACTGTTGGAGTATTACACTGAATGTTATCCAGCCCCTTACAGATTCAGGTTTGTAATTATTTTATTACAGCAATTGAATCTTAACCGGTCTCTGGTCCTGCACCCAGTATTTATCAAAACTTTACCCCATTTCAAGGTCCATATTAAAATTCAGAAATGTTAAATGTGTCAGAAGAGAATTGGAGAGAATAATAGTAAGTGAAATCCAAACTTCCAAAGGGAAGAGAAAAACTAATGAGAGATAATGAAAAGTTTCCACATTGCTGTTTAATTTTTTCAATTTATTTTTATGGCTTTTCCCCCCCAAATGTATTACTTAAAGAAAGCACTATACAAAAACATCTGGGGCTTTAAACCTTGATTCCCAAGTTCACTATTGTTTAGAGTATGAAGAAACTTATTTTTTTGTTTTCTTTCGTTTTCGTCCATTAATAATGTGACCAAGGTGGATGTGGCTGTTGGTAATGTTTTCTCTTCCTCCTGTGTTTTTTTTATTTTCTCATGTTGCCACCCATGTTGCTTGACTTCTACTTTCAGTTAGGGTAAGATCCTAACCCTAAACAGCTGTGTTGTTCTCTCCTATTCAGTTCATGTTTGAGTCACTCACAGGTGAGATCTTTGAGACTTGAAAATTTTGCATTTTAACTGGGTTTTCAACATTTTTTTGTTTTATTTCAATTTGTAATTACATCCATCACAATTTGTGTCTTTTCTCCTGGTAGATTAATCCCAGAAATAATGGCAGAAGCAGGAAGAAGGAGGCTGGAGGCTCTGCGCTTCAATAAAAACCATTTCCGAATCATTGCTCTGCTGTTTCTAGTTCACATTGGACAGTCAATGGTTTCTGAAGATCGTCAGGTAAATTGGCTTTTTCTAGAAAGATTTAAACATGTTAAAATCTATATTTGGTTTATGAACAACAACTTCATAATTGTACTGACAAAATATTTTGTCTGTCTTCCTTTGAAGCTTAGGAACGAGTTTGTCAAAGACTGGGAGAAAATGAAAGAATTTGTCACACACTTCGTAAGTTTCCTTTTTGCTCATATTTGTGTGACACATTTTCACATTAGATTAACAACAAACAGAAATCAAACGTCTGCTAATAAAGTTTTAGTTTTTTTATTAGGCAGAAGAAAGTGGCACTGAATTTATCTTAACACTTTTGGATGAGGCAAACCCTGTGGCAACCAGGAAGCATCTTGTGAGTAATATGGCTTTATTTTGTCGAAGGTTAACAGAGTAACTGCAGTATTTTCTGAACACAGTCTCACAGTTTTCAAATCTACTTTCTTTCTGGTTAATTACAGGATATATTTCAGCAATATCTTCAAGCAGCTATAGATGAATCATACAGACAAATGGTTGGATAGTCTACCTTAATATTGATCAAATGTCAGTTATTTTAACAAAATATTTATAATTTATTTCCTTTTCTTTTCCTAAAGGTCGAACAATCATCTGATATTACATTGAAGATGCACGGTCTTCGTAAGATCCTGGATGATCCTGAACTGCATCAAAAGTCACCATTTTTTCATTCATTGCTGAAAAAGTTAATTAAAGACGGAGGAACGCCTTGAAGTATATAGGATTTATTTAAAGTTAAAGAGAGACGTCTTCTACAGAAGTTTAGAAGAGATTGACGGAGAACTGACAAATACTTTGAATAAATTCAAATACAGGAAGAAAATTAACTATCTTTTTGATAATTTACCAGTCTTGTTTGTTTGCTTATTAGCACTTTATTGGATGTGTCCCCGCATCTGTTCTTGTATATTTTCATACTTATAAATTGTTTCACAATGAACTGACATTTTGTGCCTGCAGTAAAGTATAACTTTTAGAACTTTGCATGATTTAGGTCTGGACAACAGGAGGTTGTGTTTGTGTCTGTTGAACCATTTCTTTATGTTGATTTAGTCATATAACTTTAATCACTGAAGGATCACTAAACTACATTGTATGTTTCCTGGGAGAGGTCATTATTTATTTTACAAGATGTGGTAGCATGTTCACAAAATAAAGATGACAATCAATGTGTTTTTTGTGGAGTCTTCTTATTTTTACTTTATTAAAATTTATATTGCTTCTCAGCCTCACTACTAAATATTTTCAGTGAACTGTTAAGCTCCTTAACTGCAATGGTTTCCATTCTGGTTTATATTACCTTTACATGCTTTACCTTTGATTTTCCAGATTACAATTTGATATTTTATTCATCAGAATATCAATTTTGATTAATAAGTTAAAAAAGTTGTTTTATTAATGTTATGTTTGTTTTCATTTATTTAATGTAATGCTTTACAAAATGGAACTTATTTCCAGTGTGATTTTAAGCAAATTTTATTTTGCTGTTTCTTATCATTTTGATTGAGTTTTTATTTATTTATTAGTTTTTCATTTTACAATTGAGGCATATTATAACTAGGGCAAATAAATAAATGCCATTCGACTGTAACAAAAATACACATTTTACATCACTTCATAAATGACAACAGAATAAAACATGCAAAAAACACAACTGAACACTGAACTAAAAATGTAATATTAGTCTGTAGAGTCCCTGTGCCTTATTTGCATGTTATTGTGCAGGTTTATTTAGTAAAACTTATTCAAAAAGTAGGTTCACAATTTCTCATAGTATACAACTATAAATATGAGACATCCTAAGTATGGAGACTGTAGGATTAAACTTTCATTCATATTTAAAAAGAACAAGTGACTTAAGATTTCCTGATTTTGTTTTTAGATGTTTACTGCTTCATTGAAGCTTCAAACCATTACTCAACTCCTTGCCACTTAAAATAACCCCACATAAAAAGTCTGAACTTTCCATTTGCTACAAAACAGTTATTTTTCAATTTGATAATCTCATAGAGAACAAAGTGTTACTCATTATTAAAAAAAAAAAATAGAACATTAACATTTTTATTGTGGGTTTATGAAAAGTGTGTTTTGTTTGTTTGGTTACACAGTTCAAGAAATCACTGCAAAAGAATAATTGGTTCAATCACTTTATTTAATTGCTCACACCAACATTCAGCAACTGTACTGGACATTTAGACATAACATTTAATTTAAAATCTACTTCAGCTGAGCAGGGACTAACAGGCTATTGATGTAGACAAAAATGAAGGTCAGCAGCTTCTTGATTTTAGCAGAAGTATTTTATAAAATATAAAAATAAAATAAAAACAAATGGCAAAGAAGATTAATATTTCTGGGTAATTAGGTTTCCTAGAAATAAAGGTTCTGGAACCAGGTTACACATTTTAAAAGTCAACATGGTTCTCTTCTAAGTTTGCTACAAATGTCTCCTTATATGTGAGTGTGTCTTCATATTGCTCCACTTGTTCGGCTTCATTCTGAAACTTTTCTTGCAAAAAGTCATGTGCTGCGGCCAGGAACCTTCTCATGTCCTTTAAGTCTTTGGCGGGATATAGATCACTTGATAATAACATTTTAAGTATTTCACTCTCAATGTCTAGAATATCCATAGATTGGTCAAGGAGTAAAGGAAGGAGGGCCATGTCCACCTTGTTGCTAAGCTGAAACAAACAAAAATTCAAAGAAATAATCAAATTAATTCATTGTGCATTCCATGACTTTATAAAGATTTGTGTTATCTATTTTATTTACTTTTCTTATTGCTGCATCTTCTTGTAGCGTCTGAATATTTTCCTTCATTTTTTGCTGAAAACCCAGAGAGGAAAGATACAAACATTTACAATGAGTTGCAAAGGCAATAAAATAACTAGGGGAAAAAAACAACAAATGTACATTACAAGCTTTTTAAAACTACAATTTTCAAAGATAACAAGCATACCAGTTCCTCCTTGCTTATCCATGAACCTGCAGGACAGAGCAGGCTGAGCAGAGTAATCATGAAGACAAAGTCTTATATTTCTGAGCCCAACCACCCATCTGCTTCTGAACGAGGACAACGCTGTCATCACGGCTCTGAATTTGCTTCTGAAACAAAAATGTATATATTTGATAGAGAGTCAGGTCAGAGGTAAAGCATTTCTGTTATGATTTTGTCCTGTTGAAGATAGAATGTGACCATTGTTTTTTTTGTTTTTTTTACCAGTTTGTGTAAATGGGAGTTTAATCATACCTTGTGCTGGAGAGAGAGCTGCTCTACAGGAGACAGAAATGAAGGAAGACAATAAATGCTTTCAATATACTTGGATTGTCACGTGCACACGCACACACACACACACACACACACGCATACACACCCTTAAAATGTGATTGGATCACATGCTAAGAGCTAAGAGCTCTGCTCTTTTCAGTTTCACTTTGAAGTAACAATGCTGCTTAATCCAAATATGAAAAACACACAAAGAAGAAAAAAGTAAACTGAGACAGCTGGAAAACAGAAATTTATCCAAATTACATCAAGTTGTTTTAGAAACTGGAGTATATTTGAAATTTTACAGAAACCAAATTCTTGGCTCTGCAACAAACTGAAGCACCGGCTCAAGAAATGATGACCAGACAAATATTTACAGTTGCCAGCAACACCTTGGTGAAGGTGAAGAGTACACTTTGCAGGATCTAAAATGTTTGCCAGAGCTCTAAAATAATTGTTCCTCTGCTTTGTGTGTGGGTTAGAAATCCCTTAATTTATTGTGATTATGTGGCTCCTTTGAGACATCAGATGTTAGTTGTTACTGGTTACCAAACTAATATATCTTCAACTTTCTAGTTATTAAGGCTTTAATGTTTCTTTATGGTGTCTAATAAAGTGCGAAATGAACACAATGACAGTTAATTAAGTGTCTTATTTTCTCTTTCACCACTGAACCTGATTCTTACATAAACTGGATAGTTTTCTGTCAACACTAATAATATGACCGAGACGGATGCAGGTATCAGATGTGTTTTTCTTTCTCACGGTCCTTCCCTTTCTCATATTACAACTCACATGACTTCCCTTTTGCTTTCAATCTTAAAAGTATTGTGTTGTGTTCTCTGATTCTTCATTCAGTCCACCTTTGATTCACCCACATGTAGGATCTGTAGATGTAGAAAGTCATCAGTTTTAATTAGGTTTTAAAAACTTGATTTAAAAAAATATATATTGAATCCATTACAGTTTGTGGGTTTTGTCGACTTCTTAAGTATTTTAATCCCAGAAATAATGGCTGCAACAGGACAAAGACTGGAGGCTCTTAGCTTCAACAGAAACCTTTTCCGAATCGTTTCCCTGCTGTTTCTGCTTCACGTCGGACAGACACAGGATTTTCAAAGTGAGCAGCTGACGTTTACGTGTTGTGGTTAATGTATAATACCTAGATAATTGCAAATTAATAAGTGTGGTATTGTGTTTCTTGTAAATTCTAGCACAATTGATGAATGGCATACAAAGAGTAAGAGAAGGAATCAGAGTCATTGTAAGTCTTTTTGCTGCCTGAAAAATTCTCTATATTACATGAATAGTAAACAGAGCTCAACTGTTTTCTGCTAAAATAATTTTTTTCTTTATTAGATTGAAGGTGAAAGTGGTACTGAATATATCCTAACACTTTTGGATGACGCAAACTCTGTCGCAAACAAGAAGCAGCTCGTAAGTAATGTGGTTTTACTTTGTCGAAAGTTAAAACAATGACAACTGCATTGCCTAAACACACAATCTTATCAATAAATCAATCAAATTTTATTTGTGTAGCACATTTCAGCAGCAAAGCATTTCAAAGTGCTTTACATAATAAACACAAAAAACACACAGACATGCAACACAGAATCAACAATCAAAATCTAACTCTTAAAACTCTTATTAAATATCTAACCAGTTTTCATTTCCACATTCTTCCCCTGATTAAATATAGAAAATATTTCAGCAGTATCTTCAAGAAGCTGTAGATGAAGCATACCGACAGAAAGTGAGTCAGTCTGCCTTTATATTAATCAAATGTTAGTTATTTATGAGACTAACAAAATATATCATGTTAAAAAAATTGTAATACTAAAACTATCTTTTGCTTTTTAATCCTACAGGTAGAAAAAAAAGCTGAAATTACAGTATCTGGACAACTGTTTCATATGATGATCCCAGAATATTTAGCTAAAATGCAAACTCTATCCAAACCACTGGCGGACAGCATGGAGCATATGTTGGAGATATTTAGAAATTACCTAAAGCTAAAGAAAAACATGTTTACACAGGAAACAAAGGAAACAGAGACCAAACTGGAGGATGCACTAAATAATTTAAAATCCCGGCAAAACTGTCATAATCCTGTTGGAGTGAAGATAATACTCCTGTTGCTGTTTCTTTGCATAGTAGCTGTATATAAGATATGTTACCGGATAATTACTTGGATAATACGAATATTTTAAGATATATACTCATGTAGAACTTGAACGTTTTCGGTCTGTTGGAGTCCCAGGACAAGATTGTTTGTGTCTGTTAAACCATTTTTGTGTTGACTTATTCATTTGTCTTTAATCAATGTTCTGTTTTAAGCCTGAATTATCTGGGTGAGGTTATTATTTCTGTTGATGTGCTAACAAATCTCAAAAAATTTATAAAAATGATGCTTGATGTGATTTTCATGATGTTTGTTTCTTTGTATATTTTAACTTTCTGAGTCCGTAATTGGAATAAGTCATACATTTTAAAGTGTGAAGTATAATCTAAGGTTTTGTTGTAAATCAGATTCATTCATCCTTTGCCCCATGAGAGTGAAAATTCACACATTAAATACAGTTTTAGCTTTCAGTAGGATTTGAATAAAATCACTGAAAAAGTAGTATTACTCATTCTTTTATTTCACAAGTGCATGTTTGTCAAACACTCAGCAGGCTTTCACACATAGCATCTCATTTAAAATCTACTTCAGCTAAAGAATTATCTACCAGTTTATCAATGTCTTTTTATTATCGCTCACCTCTTTTTTATTGTTCTTTAAAAAGCAATAGAAGTGATTCAGACATTTTATCAGAACTGTTTTCTTAATCACAGTAAACAGACACCAGGTAGATTTATAGTTCTAGGTAATTAGTTTTCCCAGGGATAAAGTTTCTGCTACACATTTTACAAGTCAGAGTGCTCATCTGCTAAGTTTGATACAAATGTCTCCAAATATGCGAGTGTCTCTTCATATTCCTTGACTTGTTCGGCTTCATCCTGAAACTTTTTTGGCATAACTTGCTGGCTTTCCACCAGTAATTTCTTCAGGTCCTGTAGTTGTTCAATGGGAAATTGAAGATCTAGTGACAACGTCTTAAGAAGTTCAGTTGAAAGGTCTATAACATGTGTCGCTTCTTCAAGGAGCAAAGTCAGCAGGGCCGTGTCCAACTTGTTTTCAAGCTGAAACAAACAAACACAATGATTAAGTCATTGCAGCACTCCATGACTTTATAAAGATGTGTGCAGTTTTTTTTGGGGGGGTTGGCTTTTTTTACTTTTCTCATTGTTGCATCTTCTTGCAGCGTCTGAATATTTTCCTTCATTTTTTGCTGGAAATTCAGAGAGAAAAGATACAAACATTTACAAGGGAAGAAAAATATCAAGGGGAAAAAAACAAGTGTACGTCATAACCTTTTTGAAACTATGATTGTTATCTAATTTAAAAATAAGAAGAAGTATACCAGATCCTTCTTGCTTATCCATGAACCTGCAGGACAGAGCAGGCTGAGCAGAGTAATCATGAAGACAAAGTCTTTATATTTTCTGAGCCCAACCACCCATCTGTTTCTGAACGAGGACAACGCTGTCATCACGGCTCTGAATTTGCTTCTGAAACAAAAATATTGAAAAATATATTTAACAGAGAGTCAGGTCAGAGGTAAAACAATTATTTCCCAAAAATTTTTTTTTACCAGTTTGTGTAAATGAGTTTAATCATACCTTGTGCTGGAGAGAGAGAGCTGCTCTTCAGGAAACAGAAATGAAAGGAAGGATAATAAATGCTTTGAATATACTTGGATTGTCATGCACACACACACCCTCAGCATTTGATTGGATGTCATTCAGGAGAGTTATGCTCTTTTCAGTTTCACTTTGAAGTCACAATGATACTTGATCCACATATGAAAAACACAAAAAGTGGAAAAAAGTAAACTGAGACAACTGGAAAATAGAAATTCATCCAAATTACATTAAGATGTTTTTGGTCACTGCAGATCAGACAAATGTTTACAGAAGGTAGTGTCTCCTGCTGTGAAGGTAAAAAGTGAACATTGCAGGATGTGAAATGTGAAATAATTGTTTCTCTACTTTTTTGTGCAGTAAAAAAAAAAAAGCAGCAAAATAAAATGTAGTTCTTAGAAGCTGGAATGCTAAAAACTATTGTTTTAATAGTGCAATTATAGAGGAGGTAACTTAAACTGAATATGAGCTGCAGGAACCTGGAAACGTTAAAACGTATTTTTCTGTTGTTGCTGTGGTTCATTTTGCTTTGGTTTAAAACAGGAGTTTTAGCTTTACCACCAGTGTTTACAGAATGATTAATACATTCATGTGCAATATTAGTGAAAGATTCAGTTTCACTGCCTGTCTTTTAGCATTTCATAGACCATTTTTAAAAATCATCATACGTTTCATAGGTTAACATCAGCATACGTTTTTCTTTTTAAGTCTGCAAAAAGCAAACACGTCAAAATCCTATTGAAGGATGTACGTGCCAGTAAATGAAAGCAAAAATAATAAATGAGAAAACCAGCCCTTGGTTTCTGTTTTATGTTTGTGGTTCTTTCTTTGTTTTATTGTCACAGAAGACGAGCAGCTGAACGGACCGGTCTGCCACAGCGAAGGCGAGGAAAGGAAGCTTTAATAAATCAACTGCAAAAAGGTATGACAATAAACATTAAATATGTATTTGTGTTTGTAAGCACTTGTCAGTTGAAACACTGATGGCAGCTGTTCTCTCATCTAGAAGCAGATCAATGGTTGCCTTAAGAGTTAAAGTTGTTTTCCTCATGTTCGTTCTGCTGACTCTGCTCTGCTCTGCAAGTTCTTGGATTGACGACGACGAGCTGGTAAACTTTAATTTTATTAAAATAGACAAGTAATTTGAAAAAAAATTTGACATCAAGTCAATCTTGAATGCATGCTTTGTTGGTTATTGGTTTTACTTCTGATTTTAAATGTACCTTAATAATCTCTCAATTTGCAGAGAGAAATAAGAAGAGACATTCAGAAATTGCAACATGATGCCGCCAGGAGAAAAGTGAGCAAAACAACCTCAAAAATGAAAATCAACACTTTTAATGTTACCTTGTTTAAAATGCTGCTGATGTTTTTATTTTTCATTCAGGCAATTAACACGATTGACCTTAATTTCATTCCTGAGCTTGTGGATGATGTCTCACAGATTTTGGACAGTTCGGTGGAAACGCTGAAGGGAATATTCCCAAATTTTGTGCTAAAACTCATAAAAGAGATGATCGACTTCCTGGAGCAAATGAAAGGTTTGGCCATTAAAGAGCTGCTGAATCAAGCTGCAAACATCAAGAACTGCACAGAGAAGCTGACACAACTGAAAACACTTGTAACAAACCTAACAGACAAAAAAAATATATAAAAGTGTTTGTATAATATTTACATAGTGTGTCTGCTCACTTACTGAAATGATTTCTCTTTTATAAAATCCTCCTGTGTTCTTCAAAATTACCAACAATAAATTTTATCCAACTTATATTCAGTTTCATGTTTCTTTCCTAATGCAACCATAAAACACTAAACCACACAAGCTCTATTTGAAGCTTACATAGTGAGATGCCCGTTAAAAGATCCTCAAAATGGTGCGTACATAGAGTCATATTTAAAAATGAAAAAATCCATGAAGTGAAGCATAGTTGAAGTGGTGACAAATGAGTTCTGTTTGCAAAATAATAAATAAATGTTGTACTTATTCAGAAGAAGAGTTTATAGAAACTGTGAGTTTAAACAGATCACAAGATGGAACGACATGGAGTAAAGAAAAGTAATTTATTTGCTTTCTTTTTCCCAAAAATCATAACTGTCGTATAAGTCTTAGTACAGCATTTAGAACAAAAAAGAAATAACTAATCTGTGTACACAATGAATCATTAGTTAAAGAACATCAGTCAAAAAAAACAAGTTTTAAAATCTAGAAATGTTCTGACTTCAAGCATCAAGTTGTAAAGTATTTTGTAATTTTTAAATAAACATGATTTACTCAAACATAAAGCCAATCTTGCCATTATATATACTGAATTAAACAGAGTCAGGAAGCTGTCAGTGGTTACAGCTCATCATGTAGATCCTGTTGAGAATTTAAAACATTTGAAATGTAATTCAGATTTTCTTCAGTGTACTTTTCTCCTTCAGCAAAGGCCCTCAGTCTCAGCTCTAAGAAGGCCTTCACTCGTCTCATGGCTCGCTCCACCACCATCACCAGTCGCTTTGCTTTTGGATCTGTTTTTGATCCGTTTCACGACTTCCAGACTGGGATGAAGCTCCTTCATCTTGTATTCGAACTGTTCAATAGAGGCTGCAATTCTGTACTTCATTTCAGTCTGCAGGAAGACAAAAGAAGGCCGATGTTTTACAGTAAGTAGAGTTTTTGACTTGTGATTATGATAAAAGTAACATAACCCACCTCTTGTTCAAACGCTTCATTCACTGCTTTCCTGAGGGTCTGCTTGAATGTCTCCTGAATTTACCAGAGAAAGAGCATTTGTGAGAATGTACTTTGTTTACATTTAGTAAGAATAAGAAATTTGGAAAGAACTGAGACCCAAAAGTTGTATGTCATATTGTGTGGAGGCCTGGGAACCCACAATAAAACAGTAAACAATATACTTCTTATACAGAAACAAGGCACAATGGTTATTATTATAACCATTATAATTATTATTATTATACCAAGCCAATGTTTTTTAATCTGATCATTGTCATAAAATGTTGTGATTTGGTTTATTACAAAACAATGCAAGTTACAGAGCAACAAAATGTTTAATAAATAAGAAGAAGGTATTTTGCTGTTTTTTCATAAAAATGTTCGATGACTGAATCAAATCAAAACTAAGTATGAGTGGCCACTGATCAAAAGATGATTCACAAATTGTACATGTGACTTTCGACTGAACCGTTTACATAATTCATTTAAATAAACTTTACCAGATCTTCCTCGGTTTTCAGTGACCTTGCATCATCCAGAAGTCTTGAGAGAGTTTCAAGCCTACTTTGTTCTTCTTTCTGAAGGTACAAAATAAAACTTTTAAAATTACAGAAATGTTTTTGCTGCTGCTGTTGCACTAGTTTATACACATTTCACTTCACATCAAAGTAAAGACACAACATGCACAGCAGTTTTGTGCTCATGCAGGAGACACACCAGGTGAACAAAAAAGACCCACATTCATCTTGACTGATTCCTCTATCAACGCCTTGACACTTTCCTTCAACAAGTCCTGAAATGAGCAAAAACATACGAACAAGTCACCTGAAGAATTGCATACAGACGTGATGCATGAAGGAACGGTATGTGCATTTAGATTTCATTTGAAAGGAAAGAAAATCAAAAGCTGTTTTACCACAGGTTGTTAAATATGAGTAACCATCCGATGGAAAGCACAAACAGCAGAGTCAGAATGAGGAACAAGTATTTGATGACTCTCATAACAGTCCATCGTCTGCCTCCAGCTTCTGCCATGATCTCTGTTAAAATTCTTGATTATCTCAAAAGAGCAAAGTTTAAAATCGAACTAAAGTTTTGTAGCTTAAATATTAATTTACTACTTTAGTAATCTTACCTGTTAGGTGGTTGAAAATACGTCCAGCATAGAAGTCAAGATGCAAATAGGCAAGGTCGCTCTGGTTTCATCTGTTCTCCTGTAAAATATATATACCATTTAATTTAACTAATAAAAGATCATCATCCTTCTGTTTAATTTTGTTCAGGATGGTTGGAGAGCTGAACTCACAAGATGGCACATATGTTGACAATTGTCAAGCTCTCCTTTCAGTCGCTTAATATTGACATAATATGCAAACAATAGAAAGTGAAACTTTCTATTATTTTCCGGATCTTGCTCACGAAAACCTGACTGTCAACTTACAAGTTTCGTACGTGACCAAGCCTGTTGTGGCTGTCAGTAAATGTTTCTCTTCCTCCTGGGTTTTTTTTTCTTGTTTATGACCCATAAAATGTGCTTTCAGTTTTAAAAACAGCTGCGTCATTTTCTCCCATTATCCATTCAGTTCATCGTTGATTCTCCTACAGGTACGATCTTTAAAGATTAGATTTTTTTAAAATCTCATTTTATTTCAATCATGATTTGGTGGTTTTAATCCCTCAGGTTAATCCAATCACAGAAATAATGGCTGCAGCAGGACGTAGAGACTGGAGGCTCTGAGCTTCAAGAAACCCTTTTCCGAATCGTCTCCCTGCTGTTTCTGGTTCACGTTGGTCTGTCACTGGATTTTGAAATAATTCACTGGTAAACTGGATTTTTCTAGATGAAACAAATGTACTTTAGTTTATATGGAAAACATACATAACTGTACCTGCTTTGTTGTCTTGTTTTCTTAGTTTAATAAACGCCATACAGAGAACAAGAGAATCAGTCAGACTCGTGGTAAGTCTCTTTTTGCTTCAATTCTGTCTCAGAAATTCTCCACAACTGTCTGCTAACAAAGTTCATTTTTTCTTAATTAGAGAAAGAAAGTGGTACTGAATATATTTTAACACTTTTGGACCTAGCAAACTCCGTGGAAGAGCTTGTAAGTAATGTGGTTTTATTTAGTCAAAGGTTAAAAAACGGTATTATCTCTAAACACAGTCTTATATTAAATATCTGATCAGTTTTCACATCCACATCTTTTTTCTGTAAATTTCAGAAAGTATTTCAGCAGTTTCTTCAAGAAGCTGTAGATGAAGCATACAAACAAAAGGTGGGTCAGTCAACATTTATGTTACTCATATGGTTTATGATCGTAAGTCACCAAGAAAATATTTATAGAAATGTGAATGCTAAGACTATACAAATGTTTTTTTTTATTACAACAGGTACAAAAAACAGCTGAAGTTGAAGCTTACACACTACAGTTTAATGTGAAGATACTTAACTATTTCCCTAAAATACAGAAATGGAAAAGTGAAGATCCATTGACAAGAAGGATGGCTGAATCCTTGGAGCAAATCTTTCAGATATTGAGCCAATACATATTGTTACGTAAAGATATATACACTGAAAAAGCAAATGAAACAAAACTGGAGAATGTGTTGAAGAATTTATATTCTCAGCTGAAGATTCATGATCCTGTTTGAGTTCGAAGAGTTTTCCTTCCTCTGTTACTTTTGTACTATATCGGGTAACTTCCTACATCTTTTCTCAGATATATGTTCATACTAATAAATTGTTTCACAATGAACACACATTGTGTATCTGCTGTGACGGTGAAGTCTTTTTGAACTTAAAATGAAAGCTGTTTGTGTCTGTTGAACCATTTTTGTGTTAATTTTCACTGCTCTATTGAAATATCATCGAACTGCATCGCCACGTTTTCTGGAAGAGATCCCAATTTTTGAGAACATACAAATAAAAATCATGATTTATGTGATTTATGTTGTGACTGTTTATTCTCATGTTTTAAATATAAATGCACAATTTACCAAGATACCAGATAATGAATTAAATGTGCAGTAATTGGGTTTATTCAACTGACAGGAAGAGATGCATTGAAAAATGTGGCTGTAAAGAAGAAAGGCATTATGGTGGAGCTCTAATAATAATACTAATACATGTAAGTGAAATCAGTTTACAATGTGATTGACTGTAACAGTAAAAACATTTACAGATCAATCAAAATGAAGCTCTAAACAGCTCCACTCTCACATGATACCCGTCAGTCCAGGCTTAACGTTGGATCTTTATGTGACAATTTTAATATTTCTTAATTGACCCAAACATTGCAGACCAATGAAGGATAATTTATCATGACACGAACCTGTTAAGGGAGGAAAGCTGGAGCAAAAACATTTACCCGTTTAACTTTGGCTATTTGTGGTTTTATGGTCTCTAGTGGGTGTTAGGCTTTGTTATGTAACGTGGCACAATATTTAAGCTTGGACATGATGTTTGTTGTTTTAGATTAACTAGATTATTATTTTTGTCTTTTTAGTGTCTGTATAGTTCTGAGTATATTTAAGTCTCTTGGAATTAAAAAGAAAAAAGTGAATGACTCTTTGAATGGGCATGGCCTGAAATTAATGCAGAAGAAAAAAAAAACATCCAAGGCATCTCTTGCGTAAACATATATTTTTTGGCATCGAATCAGACATTTACCTCACAAAAGATAAAATCCCTACGGCTCACACGACAGCCACAAGTTTCTGTTTCTTGTAACATTTAGTTACTTTACAGTAAACGAACGAATGACTGGATGGGAAAAATATGAAGAGCAGGTTTGCAAGCCTGTTCCTCCTCAAATGCTAAGCCAAGGTACAATAAAGAATATGAAACACCTGTTCAAAAAACTAAACTGATGTGTTTCTCATTAACTGAACATGTTTACAACATGGATTCTATCTTTAAGTTCAGATACTGTAATATTACGAAAAACAATTCGGGCTAAAAGAAAAAAAAAATCTGATTTTAATTTCAGAATTCTGACTCTTTGTATGTGGGTATAATTTGAAACCAGAGCAACTGCTTTTGTCGGAAACAATTCAAGATGTTTTCATTCTTTCCAGTCATTCAAGTTTGCTCTGCAGGTTCCTGGATAGACAAGTTTAAATAGATTTTTGGATGCTTTCAGTGAAATGCTTAAGGGAAAACTGTCAACATCCTTTCTGAGAAATCCTGAGAGATAAACAGCTTCCTTGAACAAAGAACAGGTTTTGTGATTAAATGACTTCTGAATAAAGCTGCAAATATGCAATAAAGATTGTAAAGATTGACATGCATGAAAGCTTTACAGCATTTAGCTTAAAAAAAAAAAAAAAGCATGTTCGTCAAAACCAGCATTATCTTTTGATGCTCTTCATTCATGCGTTCAAGAGAACGATATGGTTTGGACGAATAGTTTTACATTTGGGTTCATTTTTCAATAACATTAAATGTTAAACAGCTTCTTTAATTTCACTTTTGCAGCAAAGTGAAACTAAAGAATCAGATCACATGCGAGTCACATCTTGGGAAAGAAACAGCCAGAGGCATTTGAAGGATTGCTGTCGAGTCAGCTCATCATTTCCTCATTCGTCATTCATGCAGACTCTCAGCCAACAGGTAAGGTTTTCACAACTGCACAACCAAAAGCTTCCTAACAATTGGAAACGGTTTTTCTTTTAAGGTTTTCTTCAATAGATCCTGTAACCATTTTTTGTTAGTTTTTAATTTGCAGAAATCATGGCACAATCTGCAAGCAGAGCAGAGACTTCAGCTCGACTCATCAAACTCGTTTCCCTCGTCGTCTGTCTGGTGTTTCTGACCAACACTGCCAGCTCTCTGGATTTTGGTGCTAATCTGGTAAACTGACCTTCACTTCCAAAACTTTTCTACCTAAAACTAAATCAATTTTGGATTTATGTAATTACACTTTTATGCTACAGGTAACTTCCTGTCTGCTACATTTCAGGACATGTACAAGGCAGCCATTCGGACAATGATGGATCAAGCTGTAGGATTTCAGGTGGGTCTGAGTGTTACTCATATGTTGGTTCAGAAATTATGCAAAAAAATAAAAATAAAAATTCTTGTTGTCAAAATACTGTTTAATATTTCTCTGTTAGAAACAAAGACAAGAGAGAGTCGATACCATCTCCAGACTTTTGACAGAAGCACAATCTATAACTAACCAGAAACAACTGGTAAAGTTAATAATTAATGTTTGTGGAAAAACATCACAGCCTTTACCATAAGCTTCTCAGCATGCATCTCATTTCCTGTCAAATGTCCACATTAACTTAATTGTCTGCCTCATCCATTTGTTTTAGGAAACGTTTATGAAAATCTCCAGAAAGCAGTGAATGAAGCATCAAAACAAAAGGTGGGTCTGTTAAACCTTCAAAGGGCACAAAAAGGCATCAGTGAAGTTTATTTATTTTATTCTATTTGATCTGAATATATAACTAATTTAATAATATACATTCATTAGAGAGAGGGGCAGTTGTCTTCCCTGTCAAGATATAGATAAAAGAATTTACAGATTTTTTTATATTGATATTTTATGAGAAAATTAATTTGAGGTTTTCACTAAACTTAATCATGAAAGACAACAGGAATAAATGCTTAAAATATATACCACTTTATGCATTCACCACTATTTCTTAATGTGATAAACTAAACTTTTGATTGCATAAAACTCTGAGGTGGTATATGAAAACTGCTTATCAAAAGGTATATTTATTTTATTTTTTTATTTTTTTACACGTCTAAATTTTCATTTCTATCTGCAGACAGAAGACAAGTACAGAATCTCAGCTGGAGTTCAACAGCTTGATTTGAAGCTGCTTGAACTTTATCCTAAAATACAAGCACTGAAAAAACTGTCAACAGGGGATGATACACTGATACGCTTCTCAGAAAAACTCATTCAAGGTGGCAGGACGTATTATACCCTAAAGAAAAAGGTGATCTCTCCTGAAGCGAAGGACATGGGGAAAAGCCTGAAAGAGGTTTTGAACGTTTTGAAAAAGTCTCACCAGGAGCATGAAGAGCTGTAACCGTTTCTCTCTCTGTGGCCTTATCCTGTTGTAATTTATCAAGCAGGTTCAGTTTTTGTGGATTAATTTCTGTTTTTTTTATCACTTTGATTCTGTATCGTATGTACAACGACCCAACATGAACCTAATGTTTACTATAAAACACCATGCAAGTCCTTTTAAAAAGAAAACATTTTGTTCATTTTTTTTAATGATTCACATGTTTTTAATACTGTGGGATTTGTTATTTTAATTAACTGTGTATTTACTTTTTTCCAACAACAAACAACCTTTCTTCTTATCATTAAAGTTTAAATTTCAGACAACTTGTATATACGCAAGTGTAAAATCTGTTGCATCCTGATTTTATTTTGTGTGTTAGAAATTTGTTTAAAAAAAGAAAAAAGAAAGCACCGCATGACCATGCAGTTCAAACAATTTCAGTGCTCTGGTTTTGAGTTTTCTTGCTACATTTTAATTGTATTGTGCCTGTTGGTGTGTCGCTCCACATGACATTAACTTTGTGTTTTACAAAGTTATGAGGTGTTTTCTGCAAAGCATATTGAGTGAGGAATTCATCCTGTAATTTAAAGTTAATTCATATCAAAAACAAGCACTTTCTACAATTGTGCTTGTAGAAAATTTGAAACCTAAATTTATAAGCTGAACTTCTATTTAAAGTAAGAATGCATTTCAACCTGAGATATTTGTAAATTTAAATGTAAAAAATATCAGTGAATATGTTAAGATCTGATACTCTGCATTTTGTAGCTGAACTGGTCAGATTCAGAGTGCCAAGAGCCAAACATCCATGCAAGTTTCGTGAACGTAATGTGATTGCAGATGAGTTTCTTTCATCAGGTGCAGTAGTTGGTGTTGAGGATGAATGCAGAGAACCCAGGTAGTGGTGTGGGAAATAAAAGATCATTTAATGATCGTCGATAAGGTGAACAGAAATCCACTGATGAACTAAGAAGCAAGGAACTCAACAATGGTAGCTGGGACAGACAATAGACAAGGACCCAACAAGGAAATACAGACACAGGTGGGATTAAATACACAAGGAAGGTAATCAGGGGAAACGAGGGACAGGTGGGGACAATAAAGGGGCAAACAGGACAACACAGAGTCTCCACTGAACACAGAAACCTGAATTAATACACAGAAAAACTAAAACCCTGCAGATTCATTTTAAATTGTGTCGTTTTTGTACAACATTTTGAGAAACAATGAGTTCATAAAGATGCAACATAAAAATCAAGATCAAAATTTATTTTATATAATCCAGTAATCTACTGGATTATACAGTCTGATGTGCTATAGCTGTAGCACATGTTTTGTCGTTGACACAAAGGCTGAATTTAGCACGTTAGAGTTAACAGAACCTAAATGTATGATTAGTGTTTTGGAGTTAGTGCAGCTAACTTTTTGGTGTTTAGTTAATGAAAACAGATGTTTCCAATTATTCAGGGTAATTTGGTTACTGTAGAATAAAACAGGCTACTCAGAATGATGCAGACCTTAAACTCTCCCACCAACTCTCAATTAAAAATGGCTACTATTTACTAAAATAGTAGCCAGTAGTAGTACTGAAATATGTGCAACCTGACAACAGAAGCAACGTTGGTATGCAAGGCTGATATGATAATAATATGACGTGGATACAACAAGTCGCACAATGAGCAGACAACTTGTAAAAGTCTCATAAATGTAATTTATGGGGGGGATTATTTTGATCCTCTGAGTTCTCATTGTCAGCACATAAGAATAGATGGTAGAAAATAAGATTAATGATATGTACGCGTCTGTTTAAAGTTTAATTTTAATCCTAATTTTGACAGATTTGGTAGATCCAGAGCATACAGCGGCTGCAAGGCCTACTTAGGCTTGGAACAATATTTGATCTCCTAACTGCACAAGAACTCAACAAGAGAGCATATTATTGAACCGACATGTGATTGTTTATATTACCTTTAACAATCTGGCTATAGTTAGGACTGCTAGGAAAACATATTCTGCATGCTTTTTAATATCATTTGCTTTTAGAAGTATTTCACCCTGCTTTTTGTGGAATAAAAAAGTTTCATTTTCTCTGTTCCTGTTTTTTCTAACCTTCTATGCACATTTTTTCTTTGCTCCATTTTTACGGGACTCAGTTACAGTAAACGATGCAGGCATATTCCAGTAACTTGAGGCTTTCACATAGATAAGGGCTTGGTCTAAGTCACAAGTTAGACTTTTATGGAAGCCATCGAGAAAGTCCATGGAAGTACTTCTGCAGACATGCTGAGCTATGTGGTTCATTCTCTCGCTGTTTGAAAATATATACATTTTTGGCATCGAATCAGACATTTACCTACAACAGATAAAATTCCTATGGCTCACATGACAGCCACAAGTTTCTGTTTCTTGTAACATTTAGTTTTACTTTACAGTAAACGAACGAATGACTGGATAAAGCTGCAAATATGCAATCAGGATTGTAAAGATTGACATGCATGAAAGCTTTACAGCATTTAGCTTAAAAAATAAACAAAACAGCATGTTCATCAAAACCAGCATTATCTTTTGATGCTCTTCATTCATGCGTTCAACAGAACGATATGGTTTGGACGAATAGTTTTACCTTTGGGTTCATTTTCAATAACATTAAATGTTAAACAGCTTCTTTAGTTTCACTTTTGCAAAGTGAAACTAAAGAATCAGATCACATGCGAGTCACAACTTGGGAAAGAAACAGCCAGAGGCATTTGAAGGATTGCTGTCGACTCAGCTCATCATTTCCTCATTTGTCATTCATGCAGACTCTCAGCCAACAGGTAAGGTTTTCACAACTGCACAACCAAAAGCTTCCTAACAATTTTAAATTATTTTTCTTTTAAGGTTTTCTTCAATAGATCATGTAACCATTTGTTGTTAGAAATCATGGCATAATCTGCAAGCAGAGCAGAGACTTCAGTCCGACTCATCAAATTCTCTCGCTGTTTGCAACTCCTGGCGTCTGATTCGCTCTCCGATCCATTAGAAGGTACAGTAATGAACATTACACATGTAATTATGTTGAGTTAGGTGAAACATTTTACTTTCAAAATTTGTCTCTTTTCATATTTAACGCCATCTTAAGACTCTATTGTGTTTGTTTATCTTAGAAAATCAGTTTTGGCAGCAATGGCAGTTTTAATCAGTAGCAGAGGAGTGGCTCGTGTCGATAAAACCAAACATCTTTTCCTCATGTTTACTTTGCTGACTTTGCTCTGCCCTGCAAGCTCGTTGATAGACGACGACAAGCTGGTAATTTTTTTCTAGTTTCAAATAGATAATTGTTGTTGTTTTTTTAAAGGATTGACATTACACTCAAGGTTTCCCTGAGCTCATTGTCAATATGTAATATAACTGTTTGCTCTGGTTGCAAATGTTTGCATTTCTTTAACAGAAATTAATCAGAGGAAATATTCTGAAACTACAGCAGGATGCAGTCATGAGAAAAGTGAGTAAAACACACAAATAATCACCTTATGACAAATTATTTTTATTTTAACTGTCACATAAACTACACATTTTCCTAACTAGGTGGACAACATGGTGGACATGACCTTCCTACCAAATCTCTTGGAGGATGTCTTGCAGCTAATGGACAGTTTAACTGGAACTGTGAAGAGTTTGCTGCCAAACAGTGAAGCTGTACCTAAACTTATGAAGGAGCTGAAAGGGTTCTTAAAGGAAACTCGGGCTTATTTGATCAGAGAATTTGAAAGGGAAGAGGCAAGAACCCAAGAATATGAAGACAAAGCCAAACAACTGGAGAGAGTTATAGAAAAACTGGCACAGTCAGAAGCTACTATGTGAACAAACATTAGAGCATGAGCAATTAAGAATAATGTTGTGACAAGTGAACAGAGTATTTTGTAACCGAAAGCTGACTGTGTAATGGGCGGAGATGTTTGTAATTTAAAGTTATCCAGAAACTGGAATGGTGTTTCTATAATGTTGAAGTGTTTATTTTATTATCTTTAAACATGCTGATTATGATATAATGAAAAAGAACAATGTTCCCCAGTTAGCACTTTTTCTTATTGTTCTTATTTGTTCAAAATATCTGCCTATGACACCAATGAAATGTTAGAATCTGCAGTGTATTTTGGTGCACTTGTGGTAATATTAAAGTTACTAACAACTAGATTATTTTATATGTTAAAATGTACTGAATTGGAAGTTGCACTTTTCTTTTAAGAAGGATTAAAAGTTGCTGGCCTTGCACCCAGAAAAAAAAAGCATTTGCTTTTGTTTCTGTTTTCTTTTTCAGTCTGGACAATAGAAAATATGAAGTTGAAAACAAATGGAAAGCTCATCTGACAAAGCTCATGAACCAGTTCTGCTTCTTAAATTAGCGTTTTAATTTAAAGTTATGGATACGGCAAAAGCTCAAACACAACGTGAGAAGGGCAAAACTGCATTTTCACAGTAACATATTTAAAAATTTCAAAACTTTCAGCTGCATCTGCTCTAAATCTTCCACTGGTAAATAATGGATAGAAGAGTAAAGGAACATTAGTTTGTGTGTACTGTTTTGTTTGCTTTGTTTTTGTATTTTAGTTGTTACTAAATTAAGACTAAATTAAGACATCATAACCTCCTCTGGCTCACAGTTGTGTTATCTTGTAGTGACATTAAATCAGAATGGCATGCATTTAATTTAGAACCGCATATGAAAATTTGTTTGCTCTGTTAACCTCTAGGAGGCGCCACAGATGCATCAGTTCAAGGCCTCACAGAAGTGAATGCAAAAACACACTTAACCTTCCGTTGACTGTTGGTAAAATGTAACGATTAACTATTGGTTATCAAGTATGGCTATTTGTAATTTGTGTGGTTTTATGTTTCAGTTTAGATGTTTAAACTAATAGTAAGGCTTCTCTGTTTGTTACACAGTGAAATGTGCACAGTGACAGCTAACCTGACCCACATTCATACACCCAAAAACCACACACTGGGGGAGGTTCCTAATGAAGAACAGTATATAAAAACCCTCAATGTTGTGCCTCCCAACATCGTTTTTTATTCACCACCTTCTCCACATTTCTGGTAGGTTCAAATATTGTTAAGGCTCTACAATTAGAATAGGTCTGTTCAAAAACTATTTCTTATTTTCTTCTCCATAACAGTCACAGCATCAGTTACCAGAACCATGAAAGGCTTGTTCCTGATCTGCACTCTGATCGGTCTGGTCGGCTTCACAGACCAGGGACGGCTGGTAAGTTTATCAGCAATATTGGTGGACAATTTTTATGGAAATTTTGACAGTGGAACATTTACCTGTCTTTATGTTTGTGAG